AAAAAAAAAAAAAAAAAAAAAAAGAACATATGTCTCAAAAACTTGTATGCTCATGTTCACAACAGCAATATTCATAATACCCAAAAAGCGGAAACAACCCAAAAGTCCATCAACTTTTGAATAAACAAATTATAGCATATCCATTCAATGGAATAGTATTGAGCCATTAACAAAAAAGAATGAAGAACTTGGCTCATGCTACAACATGTATAAACATTGAAAACATTATGCTAAGTAAAAGAAGCCAGACACAAAAAGCCACATGATTCCATTAATATAAAATATCCAGAATAGGCAAATCTATAGAGACAAAAAGTAGATTTGTGGTTGCTCAGGGCTGAGGGAAATGGGGGATTTGGAAGGTGATAACTAAAGGATATATGGTTTCTTTCTGAGCCGATGAAAATGTTCTAAAATTGACTGTGGGTAATGGTTACACAATTCTGTAAACATACTAAAAACCATTAAGCTGTGAACTTTAAATGGGTGGCTTTATGGTACTGAATTATATCTCAATAAAGCTGTTCAAAACGAAAAACTACTCAGTTATTCAAAAAGAAAGCAGTAGATCTATATTGCTTATATAAGATGCTCTCCAAGATATATTAAGGGGGGGGTGCAAATCAGAACATCACATAGAATACGATCCCCTTTTAATAAAAACAAAACCTAAAAAGACCTATATGTATGTATATAAATGCATAGAAAATAATACAGAAGAATATACCTCACACTATCAAAAAGTGATTATATCGAGAAGGCGGAGAGAATAGTGAAGGGGGTTTTGCTTTATACGTGGCCTGCTTCACAAGCAGGTAGACCTACATTACTGGCATAATTCAATTTCAAAGAAATAAGTTTTGGAAAGGAAAACAGAAAAATGTGCAAAGGACAGGAACAAGCCACTTGCTAAAGGAGAAATATAAAATGACCAATAAACAATTGGAACATGCCCAACCTCCCAAGTTATGAAAGAAATTAAGATAATAGTAAGATAACATCTTTCACCTATCAGATTGGCCACAATTAAAAAGAAAATCCAGTGTTGGCAAGGACTGTAGGTTAAGTATGCACCTGGTACTTTCTGAAGGGCAATTTGGTACTATGTGTCCAAAGCCTGAAAAATGTTCATGTATTTTGGCCCATAAACCCACTTATAGGAATTTACCTGAAAGTTATATTTGGGCAACTACACAAAGATATGTATACAAGGATATTTGTCGAAACACTGTTTGTGGGTTAAAAAAAGTGGAAAGAGCCGAAGTACCCATCAATGAGGGAAAGAATAAGTCATACCAGGAAGTATGCCCGTACAATAAAATACTCTGAGAGGAGATCTGTGTTGATTATGCTACTAGGAAGATTCACGTTGTACTGTTAAGTGAGAAAAGTAGGGTTTAGAACAATGTGACCCCTTTTTTCTCAACATATATGCCTTCATGTTGAATACACACATCACCCCCCCAGAGAAAAATATCTTGAAGGATATATGTCAAAATGAGTTATAAGTTAAGGATAATATTTTTCCTTTTTGCTTTTCAGTATTTTTAAAATTTTCTATAACAATTATAAATTATTTTTGCAATTAATCAACTGCAAAGACTTCAACACATAAGCAGAGGCTCTGGCGAGCCTTTCTTTGCTTCTCCCAACTCCTGCTACATGCCCTTCCTGTACCCTCATAAGACGCTGTGCCCAAGGACACAAGTTATACAGCCTTTTGTGCCCACAGAAAGCCCCTGAATTCAGGCCAATTCATTTCCAGGTCTAACCATGGCCCTGTGTGTTATAGACTAAGAGTCACCCCCATATTCAGCTTACCCCCTGGGATCCATATAAACTGGCAACCAAAATACCTTAGGTGTGTTCCTACACAATGTTCCTCGTGTTGGTTAATCTATTAACCCCAAGTGATTAAGTGCTGGCAAGGGATGGACTGGTCACTGGAAATACTAGGCAAGGGCACCATTTCTAGGGTACTTGACCTTAACTATGAGACTAAGTTACACAGGGTTATGTTACAGATGACCAGTGGTTCAGAGGAGGCATGATGCACTTCTTGCTGGGAGGTAAGGATATTAGTTCTGTACTGCTGTAGAAAAAATTACCCCAAAACTTGTTGACTCGCAACAATGTCCATGGGTCAGGAATTCAAAAGTGGCTTCGTTGGTCAGTTCTGGCTCAGGATTTCTCAGGCGCTTGCATTCAGGATGTCAGCAGAGGCTGCATCACCTGAGGGCTTGATTGGGATTGGAGGATCTGCTTCCAAGATGGCGCACTCACAAAGCTGTCAGCAGGAGGGCCCAGTGCCCCATCACACAGACCTCTCCATCGGTTGCTTGAGTATCCTCAAAACGTGGTGGCTGACTCCCCCGGAGCAAGTGATCCAAGAGAGAAAGCATGAAGGAAGCTATACTACC